CCATTGTTTTTTGTTTTGTCTTTTGAGACAGGGTTTCACTATGTAATTCAGACTGGCCTTGAAATCACTATGTAGCATAGGCTGGCCCTGAACTTGCTGTGATCTTTTCACCTTAGCCTCTTGAGTGCTGGGATTACAAATGCATACCACACACCCAGCTCCCAGTGTTTCTGTATAAGATTAAATTTTCAGTAGCATAACAGGTTATACAAAACTAGCTTTTATCCATATGTTCCAGATATGACTAGTCAATTTTTACTTTTAAAGTTTGGCATAAGGACTGAGGATGTCATGCAGTGGTGGCATGTAGAATAGGTTTAAACCCTAGTACTGCAGCAGAGAAAATAAAGAATAAAATTTCCCATAATGACTATATTCGTGTGTTCCTGTTTTATGGTAGTAGGCAGATTTGTATTTGTATGCCATGATTGTGTCTTATTACAGCATTAAGTCTTTTTTTTTTTTTTTTTTATTGACAGAATCTTGCTGTGTAGTTCAGGCTGGCCTTGAACTCACTTAAGTAGCCCACGCTGGCCTTGAACTCTCAGTTCTGCCTCCTAAAGTGCTGGGGTTACAGGCACGCATCACTGTTTTAAACTTCTGACTTATTTTTCAAAATATATTTTGAAACGAACGTAGTTTCATTGCGTTTATTGAGACACAGGGATGGCACGTGCCTCTAATCGCAGCACTAAGGAGCCTGAGGCAGGAGGGTTGCTGCAAGTTGAAAGTCACCGTGAACTACATAACAGTGAGACCATGTCTCAGTAAACCAAAAACAACAAAACCCAAGATATTTGTTTTTGTTTTTTTTCTCCAAAATATTTGGTATATTGAGAAAAATTTTAAAAAATTTTAAACTTTATAGTAGTTATTGTAGATTTTAAATTAACGTATATTATAGTGAAATGAATCTTTCAGTCTGTAAGAGTCATAAGTTTGCAGGATGGTAGAAAATGGAAAGTAGGCTCAAGATAAGAATGTTGGAGAGTAAGTTAGAAGAAAACTGGAGATATAGACATTGGTGGAATAGATTGTAAAGCATTTAGTGGTATGTCTATGTGTATAGTGATACGTGTGTGACTGAATAAGGAATTACAATCTCAAGAATTAAACTGTGTTATGCATACTTTTATTTGTTTAGACTGGACATTGTTTAATGCTTCTTGACTGGTATATTTCTGCTCAGACTTAATATATTGAATAACTTAAGAGTCTTCTGGCCTTGTATCTTCATCTGTATTTGTGTTTCTGAGAGTTGGCTTTGTGTCACATGGCATAGCCCCATATGGCCCTATCCTCCAGACTATTCATTATTATTTTGTTGTACTTTTCTGGGTTTTTTTTTTTTTTAATTTTTAACAACCACTTCAGTCTCTTGTGAAACACCATTATGTGGGGCTGGGGAGATGGCTCAGTAGAATAAGCATTTCCCTGGCAAGCGCAAGGTCCTGGGTTCAATCCCTGGTTCTGCCAAAAAAAAAAAAAAAGAAAGAAACACTTTTATGTTAAAATAATGAACCTGGGGTAGGAACTCCTATAGTCAACAGTTGTCCCTTTTGTTCTCATGGCATGGAAACACTCTTGCAATGTGTTCCTTCATCCTAAGTGTGACCTTTCCTTTCCAGGAAACATGCAAATTTTAAGACCTGTGTTAGAAACGTAGCTTAGTTTTAGAGCAGTGTCTAGTGTGTACAAGATGCTGGATTTGATCCCTAGCACTGCAGAAAAGGGGTTGGGTGCAGAGAGAACAAGTAGGTATGTTATTTAAATAATAGTAAAAGAATACGTGGTTGCTCTCCCTTTGACCGAATCTGGAAGTCACCTAAAAATTGGAAAATGTCGTTTTTCTTGATGACAAGCCCTGTACCAGTTAGCTAAACCCCCAGCCTGAAAGTGTCACTCTTGAGCACTTTTCTACTTTTTATTCTTGGAAAATATAGATTAAATGCATTTTTCTCTAGTGGAAGTGTGTATAGACAGAAGGAAAAATTACAAATTACAGAAGTCATTATCTTAGTTTACTATATGGAGCAAGCAAGAATATTAAAAATAAATTCATGCAAATGATATATTTTTGTTATTACAGATCTATTTTTAAAAGACCAAAAGTGAAAGTGATTTTTGCCAGTAAAATGTAATGTTACTAAAATCTGTCCTTATTTGGGTTACCAAAAAATTTGGTGTTTGGTTTTCAATCAAGGCTGCAAACTATACCAAATATTTTTGAGAAAAATATCAAAATTGGTTAGGAGAACAACTATTGTTAATTTTTTCATATCTCTTCCTAGATGATGGATACTGAGAATATGGCTGTTTTTATTTGCTAGGAAAGCTTATTTGCAGGGGTTTTTGGTACCCAAATTCAAACTCAGGACCTTACACTTGTGAAGAAGGTACTGTGCCACTGAGCTATATCCCCGGCCTGTTCACTTTGTTTTTGATTTTTTATAGAATTAAGATAAATGCCTAACAAGTGAGATTAAAAATAAGAAATCCAGCCTACGTAAGTAGTTACGTTATTAACATAGTGATCATCATTCAAAATGTGCCTTCTAGGGCTGGGGAGATAGCTCAGGGGCCTAAGTACCTGCCTGGCAACGCAAGGTCCTGAGTTCAATCTCCAGTACCCACCCCACCCCCCAAAAAATACCTCTTACAAGTGTTCAGTTAAGATAGTTCAATAGTGTACTTTTGTAGTCATGTAGGTTTGCTTGTCTCTTTTGTATTGCCTAATTTCAGGTAGTTCTGTTTCACTTGATTTTCTTCAAATGTCTGCTCTATATTTGGCATTGTCTTATGTCTCTTGCTCTTTGTAAATTATAAAGATGAGTAATGCATTGTTCTGCTTCTAAGAGTCTTCTACACACTTTCCCTGTTCTGCTTTAGCACATTCCCAGAAATGGGATTTTAATCATAGGAACATTTTTGTGTGGCTGCTACAATTAAACTCTGCTAAACATAAATTTTATTTGTAGCTACCACATGTTTTTCCCTACTTTTAAATGAAAATCCATTGCATCTGGAATTTCTTGTTATTCATAGTATTTGAAGTTAATAGTCTTACAGTAGAGTTTTTCTTTTAATAAAATTTTATAAAAAATAAATAAAGAGAGGCCAGGGAGATGGCTCAGTGGAATAAGTGCTTCCCTGGCAAGCACAGGGGCCTGAGTTCAATCCCTGGTTCTGCAAAAAAATAAATAAATAAATAAAATAAAGAGGTCAAAATCTTTGGTAAATATTTTTTGGTAGTTGCTCATGGCTTATATTTCTGTGCTTTTTGAATTCTGCAGTCTATAACAATATTATTAAATGTTATAGGGCAATAAATAACATATAAAGCAGTTCTTTGCATATGTTTTTTGTTTTTTTTAAACAGGGTCTCACCATGTAGTTCAGGTTGGCCTTGAGCTCACTTTGTAGCCCAGGCTGGTCTGGAACTTACAGCGATCCTCCTATCTCAGCTTCCCAAGTGCTGGGATTATAGACATATGCCACCACGCCTGGTTGAATATTATATATTTTTAACTCAACCTTATAGTACTAATTTAGATGTTACATGTCAAGTATTAAATGTAAAAAAGAAAATGTAGAAGACTGCTGAAAAATTGTAGTATTTAAACCCACCAATCCATGATTCTTGTTGAATATTTTTTACCTTGATAGAAATTTAAAATAAACATAATGTAGCAGATAATTATTGAAACTAAATTCTGAGTATTTATTGAGGAAGGTCATTGAATCAGGTCAGCTAGAGTTGACACACAGCCTGCCTAATAATTGGATGGATACTACCTGGCTGGAAGATGGAGGTGATCGGTGGATCAAAATCTCAGAGGGAAACCTATTATGTGTAGTTTAAATATTTATTAAAATTACATTTCAGTGAAGTATTGTATGCTTTTATTTAACTATTAAAAGTGGCATGATCACCAGTGATTGTTATTATCATGCTATTAAAAGATTGTTTTACGTAACTTATGTGTCAATTTGATTTGAGTGGTGCTTAGTAAACATTTCTGTTTCATGAAAATACTAAGTTTAAAATTATACCCAAACTTAAAGCACAACACACCTTAAAATAAGTGGTCTCCATTTTATGTTTATTTGCTAAAAACTATCTTGATGTTTTTTCAGGTTTATGTGAGATTAAGACCATTCTTCAGGGAATTCCTGGAGCGTATGTCTCAGATGTATGAGGTAATTATGCTTAGGCTGATTAAATTTGCTTTTACTTTATTCATATAGTAGCCATATTTAGATCATCTATAAATGATTACTTCTTTTCCTCTTCAATTTGTAGATCATTCTTTTTACTGCTTCTAAGAAGGTGTATGCAGACAAGTTACTGAACATACTAGACCCTAAAAAGCAACTGGTCAGGTAAATTTAATTAAAAATTTAATAAAGTAGAAGTATCTGTCATTGATTTATGAAATTATGATGATTCTGTTTAATTTTAATGACCATTGTTAGTTGGCTGCATATATATTTACTGTTTTGGATGTTGAAAATAAGTGAATTTTTAAGCCCCAAACTCTGAAAAGAATTCCTAATTCAATGAAGTAACTTGTTTAAAGAGACAACCTTTAAAGCATAAAAGATCAATTTTTTTTTAAGCATTTCCTGTGTAGTTTGGTTTTTGTTCATGAACTTTTTACCTACCTCTGTCTTTAAGATTTGTATCTACTTTTTCTTCCAGAAGATCTGGTGTTTCTGTATTTTTATTTAGCACAGGGTCTACAGGGTTTCACTACACAGACTTATAGTGGTTCTCCTGTTTTCAGCCTCCCAAGCCCTAGGGTTACAGGCATGCACCACTATGCCCAGTCTAAATAATTTTAGATAATGTTTTGTTTGCTTGTTTGTTTTTGTTGGCTCAGCCCACCCTGAGGGCAGGCTGGCATGACATGTGGTGCTGGGGATTGAACTACAGTCCCTTGCACCTACCTAAGCTTGCCTAAGCAGGTGCTTTAGACCGCTGAGCTATCTTGCCTGCCAGTGTTTCTGTTTTAATATTTAAATCTTTGATCCATTCTTACTTTAGAGCATGGTGATAGATATGGGTCTAATTTAAGCCTTCAACATATGGAATGCAGGTTTTCTAGCTCCATTTTTAAAAGAGCCTAACTTGCTTCCAGTGAACAGGTATGGCCACTTTATCAAGGAAATGGTGGCGGAGTGTGTTTGTAGTTGTCTCTGTATCTCCTAATCTGTTCCATTGATCCTCAGATCGGTCTTTATGCCAGTATCATGCTGATTTTATCACAGTAGCTCTTTTGTTCATTCGTTCATTCTGCCTGCCTGCCTGCCTGCCTTTCTTCTCTTCTCCTCTTCTCTTCTCTTCTCTTCTCTTCTCTTCTCTTCTCTTCTCTTCTCTTCTCTTCTCTTCTCTT